AGTCCCTTAGATATTTACTAAACGTGGAAACTTTTATTTTTCCCAGCTTATTTTTTTAACTTACGATACATTTTTAACCGAATTTTTACCCAAATCGAGCCATATTTCATCTCATATAGAAAGATTAGATTAACGCATAATTCTCAACCTTTCAGTAAATTTAGCGTTAAGTTTTACCTACAAATAAATATATGGCGTCGTTCCCCTTCGTTTTTGCAACTCAAGAAATATTTCATTCCCTGACTCAATTTTGAATGAAAATTTAATAAATATTTAATTTTCCGATAAGAAAAAACCTTCCAGGAAATATTTTCACTGTAACAACAAATTTGTCCACTCTGAGCAGTGAAACTAAAAAATATGTTTTTATTTTGTACTTTTTTTTACCCAAGTCTCCAAAAAACTTTCAAATTTCCTTACATATTTATTTACTAAACGTGGAAACTTTCTTTTTATGGAACTTGTTTGCTATCTACAAAATATATTTTTTACAGAATTACTCCATTCTAAAATCCAACCATATTTAAGCTCATAAGATTAACACCTGAGGAGTCGATTATTAAATATTTTACTCAATTTAGCATTCAATTCTATATAAAAATAACTTTTTTGGCTTCATTCATCCTTCTTCATTTCCTAAAAAAATATTTCATTCCATCTCATTACAGAATTTGGTTTGGATTGAAGGTTTAATAAATATTTATTTTTTCGAGCAAATAACTTTCCCGGAAATATTTGCATTCTTTCGCACAGAACAAATTGCCCCCTCTGAGGATGAGCTGATTTGGTATGAAAAAGTTATAAATACTCTTCATTCGCACATAGTAGAACTTTTACGGAAATTGAGATTTCTCAGAAACTACGGCAAAGTACCCCGTCAGCATAATTTGAGGGTATGTGAGACTGACAGTGCCGTAGTTTCTGAGAAATCTCAATTTCCGTAAAAGTTCTACTGTGTGTGAATAGAGAAGACATACATATACGCTGCCTGCTAATTTATCTTTAACTGAATTCAGCCTTAAATTTTAACCACAAATAAATTTCTGGCGTTACCCTCCTTCATTTTTCCACTCGAGAAATATTTCATTGCATGTCTGAGTTTGAAGTGAAAGTTTAAATATTTAATTTTCCGATCAAACCAAGAACGCCGTCGGGTCCGCCCAGAAATTCCACCTCGGCTAATATTTTACCCGACACGAAACCCGACCAGCCCACTTATTTTCTCCGGGATGCATATCTAAGAACGACACGAACGAGGATGACACGGATGAGTCCCCGTCCGAACCGAATTATGAAAATCATATCGTCTCAAAATATATATTTTTTACTTCGTGTACATCGAAACTATGAGTGTTTTAATTTACATTTTCCAGAGGTGGGCAAAATACGATGTCGAAATACAGGATTTTTAGCTCCATTCTTTCATTAGAGGCTTGGATTTCCGGGGCTGTTACACCCACAAAAAGACGAAAATCTACGTGGAGAAGGCAACAGTCACACGAAAATACTGGTTTTTAAAAATAAATTAACCCTTTATCGCTAGAAAACACCGTATATATTTTTAGAAAATCGTGAAAACATTGAATTTTGACAGCAATTAAAAATTAATTTACTCACAAAACCTGCATTATCGTATGAGTTTTGCCTTCTATCTACCCGTAGATTTTCGTCTTTTTGAGGGTGCAACAGCCCTATAAATTCAAATCATGGGAAGAATGAAGAAAATCTGTATGAAGAATACAACAGTGGTACGAAAATACGGGAATTCAATGTTTTGTCGCTGTCGCGAAATTTTCATAAAAACGTGAAAACAAGGTATTTTGACATCGGTAAAAAAGTTAATTTCTCTTCACAAACCCTGTATTTTCTTGCGACTGTTACCTTCTCCACGCCGATTTTCGGCTTTTTGTGTGTGTTCCATCCAGCCCCGGAAATCCAAACCCTGGGAAGAACCACAGATATGGAGAGACATAGATGGAGGAACTATTGAAAAAAGCGTCGCAGCATGGAGAACGATTTGGGTATAATTTGGATATAATTTGGGTATAACGCATATGGACCTCGTTGTCACACTTTGCCCCACTTTCTCAGTTGGCAGAAGCTGGAGCAGTATTTAGTTTCATTCACAAATTTTGCCAAGTTTTTAACATTGGAGTGATGTGAGATCGGGGATCTATATCTCTCCATATCTGTGGGAAGAACCGAGCTCAAAATACTCAATTTTGCCCACCCCTGATACGTATTTCCATCCAATGTACATAATCAATCAACTACCTATTTACATATGTATACATACGTGTACTACCAAAATAATTAGTCCGACGACCCACGATCCACCTGTCACGCAAGCAAGGCAAGGAGAGGATGAGTCCCCTCCCCGTAAACCGAACCACTTGAATGATGATTGTTTTGCACAATTGTTCGTGATCGGATACCGACCGATAATGGCACCGATAAGCCGAGAAAGGGTTCTGCTGGTTGGTTGGTGGTCTTGTCTGGTCACCGGAAAACCTCTACAAATTGAAGGCAGGAGCGGTGATCAAGTGAGTGCTTTGGTCGAGCAGCTTATCAAATATTAATTGTCATTTGTACTAATTGCACACTCCAGTCCATCCATGGCATGCCACACACTAGAGAAAATGCAAATCGAAACATGGACAGAGACACGCGATTTATTCAGAATTTCGATTATGATGATGATTATGATAAATATTTCCGAGATGAAATTTGCATATGCACATACGATCATGGAACCAATTACATATTTACATTGTATTGTTATGAATGGCGTGGAGAAAATATGAGCTCAATTATTTACACCCAAGTTTTTTTTAAAGCTATACGATAAGATTTGGGTGGTGTGGTGAGCCGGAAGTATTTTTCAAATAAATGGAGGATGCCGTGCTGCCGGAGATATATTTCCCAGCGTTTCGATTCTCCTTGAGCTGAAAGCCTTTTTCTATTTCTATTTGTTCCGTAAATCGAAATATCCAGCTAGACACGCAATTTATTCAAAATTTTGATTATGATGATGAAACTAATTACACATATTGGTATGTATGAATAGCATGGAGAAAAAAAAGCAAGCTCACTTTTTTTTAAGCCTCGTTTAATACTTTTTTCTGGTTATTACATATCATAATTGGTTACATAATAATTTACTTGACTGAATGTACTGCTGTTATCTGATGGGTGAGCGGGGGTGCTTTTAAAGCTATTATACGATGATAAGATTCCAGTGGATAAGCCTGGCTAATAAATGGAGGACGCCGTACTGCCGATACTGCGTCCGTAAAGGTGATCTGTTCATCGAAATATTTTAGATATGTATTTAGCATTTCGATTAAGACGATATGTAAATATCCCAATGAAATGAAATGAGACGAAATTTGCATATTATGCACTATGAAACCAATTACATTTATGCAGGAAGAATGACGTGGAGAAAATGTAAGCTCAATTATTTTTAGCCATGTTTTTTATAAGCCTCGTTTAATACTTTTAGTTTATTTTTTGGCAAGATATTGAGCGTACTCACGTCAACCTTCGCATATCTCGCATATCTCGCAAATTGAACATAGCAACATAACTTGCGAAGTTTTGCGAGATATGCGAGATTTCGCAAAAAATTTGCTGGAAAACCATGGGATTTTTAGCCCGAGTCAGGGCTTATGGAACCGTCATGTCCGTCCGTCCGTCTGTCTGTCTGTCTGTCCGGCACGATAGAGCCAAAACGGCTAAACCGATTGACTTGAAATTTTTACCATATGCATATTGGACAAAGTTAGGAAACGAGTTCGAAGATGGGCGAAATCGGTCCAGTGGTTGACCGGTGGGGGTCATCGGAGTGGGTGGGGTCTTATGCACCAAAATTTCAAAATTGTTGTAGAGAGCTGAAATTTGGTACAGAGGTTGCTAATGGCTCCTACAAGATAAAAATGACTTCAAGTTGAAAAAATTTTCATCTTGAGTGACCCTATGGGGTGACCCATACCGATTTTTAGAAATTGCTTTAAAAAGATGAAATCCGGCACAATTATACTTAATTAAGTATAAGCCATTAATGGCTTCTAATTAAAGATTATGAAGTTAAAAGTGAGCAAAGCGCAACCAGAGTGACCCTATGGGGTGACCCATATTGGTTTTTCAAAATCGTTATATCGAGCTGAAATTTGATGTGGAGGCTGAAAAAGTGAAAACCACTGCTGGATAGCACATGCATACAGCTTAGAACTTCAGGATGTTAAAGAAGCCCACTGGTCATGGTGGTCAAGGCACATGATTTGTAACTAATTCAAAAAATTGGTACCAAATGGTAGAAACTATCTATCAAAATTTTAACCATCCACAACACGGAAGTTGGTGATATTATGTCGGTCAATTCGGAATAAAAATTAGAAGCGTGCTCGGATTTATTGAGTCAGGGACATAGTCCCTGACTCGGGCTATATGGAGTCTGCACTGTAGGTTTTTTTCGCAAATTTACCCAGCAATTGAGCATGTCCTTATTTCGCAAAATTATTTCGCAAAGTAATTCTGCAAGAGAAATTACAGAAATCCATGGAAACAATACCAAAATAGGTGTTTTTCTGTAGATTTGCGAGATAAGGGAGTTTTGCGAAGTCATATTTTGCGAATCCCCTCACGACAGAAATATTTTGATCTTCGCAAATTTGCTAAATGAGTTGCGATGCGAAATAAGAAGTTGTCGTGAGTACGCCCATTAGTTCTTACATAATAATAATTTACTTGACTGTGCTGCTGTTATGGTATGTTTTTTACGGGTTTTTTATGAGCGGGGGCAGTGGGGGTGGTGAGAGATTTTAAAACTATATTAAAGGTGGTAAAAATATTGGGACTCGTCATTTATCCAGAATTTCGAACATGATCATCATGATACATAAATATCACCGAGATGAAATTTGCACAATATGCACGATGAAACCAAATTGCACATTTGCATTTGTATGAAATCCATACAATGAATAGCGTCGAGAAATAAATATGCATATGAGTAACTCAATTATTAAGACCCAAGTTTTTTATAAGCCTCGTTTAATACTTTTTCTGACTATTTTTACCTTTCTTGCATTACATAATAACTTACTTGACTATGTTTATGGGTTTATGAGCGGGGGCAGTGGTGGGGAAGGAGGTTTTAAAGCTATTTTTATATTTACGATAAGATTCCACTCGGAAATATTACTTTCCTAATAAATGGAGGACGCCGTACTGCCGATACTGCGTCCGTAAAGGTGATGCTGTTGATGGAGTGGGAGTGAAAGTGCGTGGTTTTGCTGCATCGACTTTTCCATTTGTTGATGCTGCGTCCGTACCGCGAAGCGATTCACGTGGACCGGAATGGGCACCACGATCCGGGGTCCACTACCACCCCCACTGGAGGAATTGCCCCTGTTCGGACCACTCCCACCGCCACCGCCACCACTTTCATTGTTGGGGGATGAGCCAGACCCTCCACCGCCACCGCCGCCACGAGAAAGGACGCCCATTCCTGGAATAGAATTTAATTAGATGCATTATTTTGGCGGCATTTCGTTTCATTTCTTGTGGGTTTGCTGCATTTTTTTGCAGTGCAAAGAAAGAAACTGCAAGAAATTCGAGGTGCAAGAAACTGCAAGAAATGGCAAAAAAACTGCATGAAAGTGCAAGAATCTGCAAAAAAAGTGCAAAAAAGTGCAAGAAATTCGAGGTACAAGAATCTGCAGAAAAAGTGTAAAAAAAGTGCAAGAAATTCGAGGTACAAGAATCTGCAAGAAAGTGCAAGAAACCGCAAAAAATGGCAAGAATCTGCAAGAAAGTGCAAGAAACCGCAAAAAATGGCAAGAATCTGCAAGAAAGGACAAGAATCTGCTAAAACAAACTGCAAAAAACTGCAAAAAACTGCAAGAAACTGCATCAAATATCAAAAAAAGTGCAACAAACTGCAACAAATATCAAAAAAGTCCAAAAAAGTGCATGAAATATCAAAAAAGCGCAAGAAATATACGCCGTATGAAGGAATGGAGACTTCTTGCAACGTGCATTACTTGTAGGTCAAATAGCTGCAAAAACAAACTTTCATGCCCTTATTTCTTGCAACTGGTTAATTTCCGAAATTTCAGGAATATTATAAATTTCTTCATCAAAATTCAAAATTTCTGTCTATCAATCAATTTCTAAAAATAAAAATCAACCCACCTCCCGCTTTCACCCGTTTCCATTTAGCTCTCCGATTCTGGAACCAGATTTTGACCTGGACCTCGCTGAGTTTCAGGGTCCTCGCAATTTCCGAGCGTTCCGTCAAACTGAGATATTTCTTGAGCTGGAATTCCCTCTCGAGTTCGAGCAACTGTTCGGAAGTGAAGGCGGTTCGGCGTCGACGGGTTTTCAGGCCGGATGCGTCGACCGAATCCTTTCCTCCGGAGATCGGGCTGCTGTTCAACGAGGTCAGACCAGTCTCGTCGTCGTCGCCACGTAAGCCGGATGGTGAGACTTGGTCATCGTATGACATTTCAGTCTCGGAATCGTCTGCAGGGAGAAAAAAAGGAGAAAATTTGGGGTAAATAATTTGTGAAATTCGAGATTAGTTGGAAATTTAGAATTTTGGAAATTAACTTAAAATTTGCGAATATTGCGAATTTAATTAGAACTTTATGAATATTGATAAATTGAAAATTTATGACTACTGGGAATTAATTGGAAATTTACGATTGGTTCAAAATCAAAATTGACAGTCTCAGAATCGTCTACGTCAAAAAAGGAGAAAGTTAGCAATACATACATACATATGTAAATAAGTTGTAAAAGTGGGGATTATTTGGAAATTTATAAATATTGGGAATGAATTGGAAATTTACGATTAGTTCAAAAATGAAAATCCATAATCTCAGAATCATCGTCTGCATCAAAAAAGGAGAAAGTTTGGCATAAATAAACAATTTGTTAAAGTCGGGATTAATTGTAAATTGACGAATATTTGGAATTAATTCAATATTAACGATTAACTTAAAATTACAGATTGCTTGATCATTTGTGATTAATTGCGCAATTTATGATTTATTGGATATTAAAATTAGCAGAAAACTCCGAACATAAAACATTTGCTGGACATCTTCAAATCTACGAGTATATGAAAATCTACGATTATTAAAAAATTCAAAATTAGCTTGGAAATTGGGAATTCTTAATTACATATTAATACCTAATTTTATGATTAATTATATTAAATTTTCGATTATGTAATCCTCAATTAATCATCTTACCCGTCATTCCCCCCGGACTCTCCGACCCACCCCGGCTCTCCCCCTCCGAACATTTCCTATACCTCCCAACAGCCCCACCCCTAAAGGCGTCATAACTTCCGGGACTGGTCCCCCCTCCCCCGGCGAAATTCCGGCCCCCACTCAAATTCACATTCACACTGAGACCCCCATTAAAACTGAAGGATGACGACGACGACAAATTCGTCGCCGACGCCGACGACAGATTTGTCGACATGGGAAAATTTGGCGTCACCGAGGGCGCTGTCGCTGCCCCATAAAAATTGCTTGGATTGTAACTCGTCAGCCCAAAGTTGAGATTGAGATGGGACAAAATTCCGTGCTGTTGGATTAAATGGTGCGCCAAGGTTTGTTGGTAGTCAAGCATTTTTGCTGTGAGGACTTTCTCCGATAAGACCTTATCTTTTTCAGATATCGATGTGATATCCTCGGGGGATGAGGGGGCGAAGAATTGATGGGATGGTGGTGGCGACAAAATTCGGGTATTATTATTCTGGTGGTGGCGATTGATGAGAGATTCGATGGAAAAGTTGGAGAATTTGTCGGAATGGGGGTGGTGATGCACGTGCGTGTCGTACGGGGAGGAGGAAACTTTCGAAATTGTGGAATTTTTCATATTTTCTTAAAATTTTCGGGAATATTGAGACTGTAAATTGTTCAAGTTTCTAGTCGAATATGAATTTTGTGGAAAGTTTAACTTTAAATTAAACAGATTAAGATGCATAACTTGTAGTTTCTTGATTTTTCACGTCATCTAATTTCGAAAGTGTGGAATTTTTCATATTTCTTTTCGGGAATATTGAGTCCGGAAATTGTGTAAGTTTCTAGTCGGATACGAATTTTGTGGAAGTTTTCACTTTAAATGTAACAGATTAAGATGCGAAGCTTACAGTTTCCTGATTTTTCGCGTAGTCTGATTTCGAAATTGTGGAATTTTTCATTCATTTCTTAGGGCATGGTAAGTCTCATTTTTATACGTTATCAAATTTCAAAATTGTGGAGTTTGGGAATATTGAACGTGGAATTGCTAAAGTTCCTAATAAATTTGGATTTTGTGGAAATTTTCACTTTAAACTAAAAGAATTTATGTACGTACAAAACTGTTTCTGTTACAGATGAGATTACAATCTGCCCATAAAATTCACACGTTTTTAATCAAATTTCGAAAATTGTACAGTTTTTCATATTTTGGGAAACATTAAGACTTGAAATTGTTAAGTTTCTAATCCATTATGAATTTTGTGTCAATTTTCACCTCATATTAGACACATTAAGATCATCACTTGCTAGTTTTTCCGATGAGATTACAATCCGCTCAATAAAATTCATACGATTTTATTTTTTCACGTTGTCTAATCTCGAAATTTTATAATTTTTCAGTTTTTACAATATTAAGACTTGAAATTAGTTCCTGGGCAAATTTTTAAAATTTCAATTTCAATTTTTAGGGAAAATTAGTTCAAGTTTCTCGTCTAATATTAAGTTTTTATAAATTTTCACTTCAAATTAAACAAATTTAGATAGTTCGCTGCCTTGCTCACGAGATTTTAAACTGTCCATAAAATTCACATATTTTCAATTTTACACGTTGTCTAATTTCGAAATTGTAGAAGTTTTCATTTTTAGGGAATATTGAGACTTGAAATTGTTGCAGGTCCAAGCCAAATGTAAATTTTGTGTGAATTCTCACAATATTTTATACATTTAGATTTTTCTGTTTCCACGAATGAATGAGATTATATTCCGTCCATAAAATTCACATATTTTTACTGTTGCACGTTATGTAGATAATTTCGAAAATGTATAATGTTTCTTTTTCCGGGAATATTGACACTTAAAATTGCTCAGTTTTTAGAAATTTTCACTTCAAATTAAGCAAATTTAAATACTTAACTAGTCTGAGGTCTGGGATTACAATCCGCCCATAAAATTCATACGTTTTATTTTTTCACCCTATCAAACCTCAAACTTGTAGAATTTTGAATTTTGGGAAAAATTGAGACCCAAAATTGTTCAAATTCCTAGCCAAACGTAAATTTTGTATAAATTTTCACTACATTTTACATATTTAGATTCTTCATTCTCTCAAAGTCCGTCCATAAAATTCACACGGGTTTGGTTTTGCACACCTTATAAAATCTCAAAATTATATAGTTTTTCACTTTTAGGGAAAATTGAGATTTTCAATATTGCCCGAGTTCCTAGCCAAATGTGAATTTTGTTAAAATTTTAGCTACAATTTTACACATTCAGATTACACTCCTTTCACGCTTTTCATTAAAAAGATCACAATTGATTCCTTTTTCACGTTTTTCATAAATAAAACTAGACGATATTATTTTCCACCTTGTTTTTTTAAATCAAAAAATTAACCACTTAACAAACAATTCATCAATTATAAAACTTGCCGAGCTGTCAAACAGTGTGAGGCAAGATGAGACGTATAGTTAGTTATTCCCTCGTGCCCGTCGAAAGTGAGACTGATCGTGCTACAGCCTGGTTTTTTCTGTTCCGGTACGACTTTTATGTATTAAACACTCAACAATCCGTCACAATGAAAACTAGCCGAGCTGTCACAAAGTGAGGCAAGATGATACTTGTACAATTATCCAGTCTCGTCCTGTATCAGTACCACTTTTACAACTTATGTATCTGTAGTGTCAACAATTAACAACTTTATAATAACCGTAGTCGTAAAACTAGGCGAGCTGCTAAAGGGTGTGAGGCAAGATGAGACGTACAGTTTTATCCTTTCGTTCCATGTAACCCATGCAAAATTGAAAGTGAGACTGATCGTCCTGGAGCCTGGTTCTTAGAACCACTTTTACAACTTATCCGTGATATCAAGCAACAATTAACTGTCGTTGTAAAACTGGCAAAAAGTTGAGGAAAGATCACTTTCACAACTTATCTCAACAATTAACCAATTAACAATCCATCCTTGTAGAACTAGCCGAGCTGCCAAAGGGTGCAAGGCAAGATGAGACTTATGTAATTATCCACTCTCTCGTTCCGTCCGTGTCGTCCGTGCAAGGATGAAAGTGAGACTGATCGTGCTGGAGCCTGGTTCCTGTATCGGTATCACTTTTACGACTTGTCTGTCCTCTCCGTGCTTGATCCGAGGGTGCCACTTCATGCCGACTCTATTTATTTATCCACAGCAGGATACACGAGAGATCATATAACGTGACAATCTCTAATCCAAATCGCTCTTACCCCACTAAAAACACCAACGTGGGATTATGTAAACGGGCTTTTACTTCTACCCTGTGGTTTGGACAGACGTTGGCATAACACCTCCCCGAAAAAGGGAGTAGTTACCTGGGTATTACTCCGCCCTTTCCCACCACCACCACAACCGCATCTTGCACATATTCACATGTATTTGTATATGGAGAAATTCCATGAAATGTCGACTACTTCTTTGTCGGAGCATGTATTCGTATGAAAAAATGGGTAAAAAAATCATGATTTATTAAAATTTTATAATATTTTATAAAATTGAATAATTTTTCAAATACAAATAAAATTTTAAAACAAATTTTCAAGTAAAAAAAAACAGTTTCAAATTTACACATGTTATCCTTTCAGCCCTTTCTCTTTTTTAAAAACCCTAAACAAATTCCCTCAAAAATTTTGTAAAATTAATACAAATAATGCCCAAATATTAAAAAAACTTAAATTTTCGAATAAATTTTCAAACTACTTTCCGAACAAATTAAACTTGCAAATTTGCACGTATTCCTTTTAACCCTTTCTCTTATACGCGAAATAAATTCCTCCAAAAATTTCACTCTAATTTAGAAAAAAAACTCAGAATTTGTTTCTCTCCCTCATTTTCAAATTGCAATTTAATTTAGATTATTCTACTCTTGTTTAAAACAAAAAATAAATTTTCAAATTACTTCCCCAGAAAAAACTTGCAAATTCACACGTGTTCCTTTTTTAACCCTTTCTCTTATCCCCAATAATTTCTCCCTAATTAAAAAACACTCCGAATTCTTTCTTTCTCCCTTTCAAAATATCAATTTAATTCCGATTATCATCTTATTGTCCTCTGATTGACAAGCGTTTAAACGTTTGACACTTCTTCTTCAAAGTGATGACGATCTGTGCATGGAAATTCGTTCCTGAAGAGGCAGATGTGTCCCCCAGTCCCAGTCCTCGCGTGCAGTGCAAATCCATAAGTGGTGGTAGGCAAAGGGTTGCATTTTCCTCCCTTCCTCCGTAATGATAATGACATCCGTGTCATGTCATGTCATCCGTCTGTCCGTCCGTGTGTGGTGCGCAGTGGCCGCGGAAGCTTGGGGACATGTGGGGACAATGTTCCCAGGGTAATTTTGTGTCTGCATAATCTCCCCCATTATGTTATATAAACCCCTCCCTCCCCCTACCCTGCAATGGTAACGTCCCCCGATGTCCCCACGGCTTCCGCGGCCACTGGGAGAATTCAGGATACTCAAATGTATGAACATGATACAGTGGCCGCGGAAGGGTGAGGACAGAGGGACAATGTCCCCATGGTTATTCGATGTCCCCATTGATTTCCCCATGTTATGCAAACTCCTCCCTCCCCTATCCTGCAATGTTAACGTCCCCACATGTCCCCACGGCTTCCGCGGCCACTGATTACAATTCGTCTCTCAAATTCACACGTTTCTACTTTTGCACACGTTATCTAATTGTAAATTTTTTTAGGAAATATTGAGATTACGCCAAATGTGTAAATTTGCCCTTTTAATTAAACAAATTAATGTTAACGTCCCCCGATGTCCCCACACCTTCCGCGGCCACTGGTGTAGTGTGTGTGGTGTCATTCATGCAAATACAAAGTCAAGGCATTTCATTTCACTTGACGTGACAGAGTCTCACTCGAGAATTGGTTTCCGTCCAGGCCAGATTTTACCCTGGCTGGATTTTTTAACGCCAACCCCTCCATCCAAAACCAAGCTTTAGTTATTATTGGGAGGGTCGAGTTTAAACGATTTTTGCGCACAGGGAATAAACCTAACAAACCATGGCATGACCGGATTTTGACGTTTTTTCACTAAAATATATAAACGACACGATCAAATCAAGGGGAGGGAGAAAATATAATCTGCTCCTATGCAAATTCGTGTGCAATCATAATTTAGGCAAAAATTGGAGTAAAATAAATAAGAAAAAACGCACTTTTTCCACGTTTTTTTAAAAAAATAAACACGACACGATCAAAGGGGTGAAATCCATGTGGTTCTGAGCATAATTACACTCAAAATAAGGTGGTAATGAATCATTACCATGCGGAATCACTATGTGTCTCTACCACTTCGGTTACGATTTGTCGTAGAAATGGTAATAATAAGTTCAGGGAAATTCAAATTCATT